AAACTCCATTCTGCTTCAGCAAAAAATAGCCCCTCATTGCCAGACTTTTGTCATCTTGATGTTCTTGTAACATAGCAATTGCCTGCTCCTGAATCAGAAAAAAATAAGATGGTCAAATAATGGCTGTAAATTAAATAAACAGTTGGTGCTATGGAAAACCCAAGAAAATGGTTTTTCCTGGCTCTCTAGTAAATGCCAATGCTCAGTTTTTGCATTCCTTTATCCACCATGGTGCCTTTAAGGTGACTCAAATTATGAATAGACATTGGTGTAGCAACTTCGATAAAATTGTGCAAACAGTTTACTACCAACATGGAACCTGTCAGGTCTATAATCCTGCAGAAACTACTTTTTGTCTCAAGGGACCTCAGACTTACTCCTTCTCGTTCTTTTGAGCACCTGGAGCTGGACTTCATTCAGTTGCCACTTAGTGGGGGTTATCGATATGTACTTACTATTTTCTGTATGTTTTCTGGATGGTTTGAAGCTTTCCCCTGGCACAAAGCTGACGCTCTCACAGTGGCAAAGAAATTATTAGAGAATGTGTTTCCCACTTGAGGATGACCTTCTGCAATCTCCAGTGATCAAGGCACTCACTTCACTGGACAAATCATATGAGCCTTAATGAAAACCTTGCAAACTTCTTGGAACGATTACTTGGCCTCATCATCCTCAATCATCAGGAAAGGTCGAGAAAACTAATGGGATCGTCAAACTCAAAATCTCTACACTTGTTGAAACTACTGGACTCCCTTGACCTATAGTATTGCCTCTGGCCTCGCTGACTGTTCTCAGACCCCCTTTGGGAAACATAGACTAGGTCTACATGAGCTAGTCACTGTACACCAATTTCTGTTGGTATACAACTTTCTGCCGCTCCCTCGTTGTCATGCTAGTATGGCTAGCTACTGTAAGTATTTAATGTCTTATGCTAAAGAGTATCAATAGGTTAAAGAAGCCTTCCCAGATCCCAATTTAAAGGATCCCTGTTTGTTGGCCATTGTCTAAAGACTGGTGACTGGATATTCTGGAAACATCATCATCAGAGGACTCCTCTTGAGTGCCAGTGGAAGGGACATTACCAGCATTCTCAAGCACCAACACTGCTGCAAAACTGGAAGACATTGAGCCTGTAGTACACAGCTCACAAGAAGGCTGTACCTGGCATCTGTAGACTACTTCCACCCAAGACACCAGATCAAAACTGCATCTTTTAACAGAACATGAAAGTTTTTCGCCTTCTCTTTCTTTTCTTTATTCCAGCATTGGCCTGGAAAGCTAATACCCTCATCCATATTTCCTAGACCATTGGTAATGGGGGTGACCTTCAGTCAGTCCCTCTTAGAAGTCTTTTACTACGTTCAGCTTTTGTGACAGAACATCAAGTGCCTTGTTTTTTCCCTTCTCCAATTATAACAGTACTTATGCAATTAAACTCATATGCCTATGTAAATCTTTGTACAATCACACTCTCACATTCCCATGAATATCTAGATCAGATCTGCTGCCCGATCACTAAGAGATCTCTCCAGCATCACCCATCTTTGCAAGGTACTCAGAACAACTCTTTATTTTAGGCTATGAGATCTACTTTCTGAATGTGCTGAAAACCTAATTGATCCCTGGGTTGTAGGGGCAAATGCATTAATCTCTATGAATGAATCCATTAATAGCACCTCCTTAATGAGAATGGTTTGTGCCCTAACTGGGTTTGTCTTTGTCTATGGTATTTATCATTCTCTTTGGACCTGAATACCTAGATGACTGGTGCATAACTGAGCAATGCCTCTTAGGTTATCCAACTGTGCCCCAAATTTTTCACAAACTAACTAAGACATCTCATTAGTTGGCTCCCCTGAATTTACACCATCTAGTTAGAAAAGACCTCCCAGGAGGCATTCATGACTCAGGATTTGCTTCCTTTGGCAGGGCCATACTTCCCTGGTTAGGGATAAAATGTAAATGAGAATATGATCAGAAACCTCTCCTTAATTTTTGAAGGTAGCATAGAATCTATTGCTAAGACAATAGCTACCCAACAATGATCCTTAGACTTTCTGACCAAGGTTGTTCTTGACAACAAGATGGCCCTCGATTTTCTTTTAGCTGAGTGAGATGTCTGTGCTGTGGCCAACACCACCTGCTGGACTTGAATTAACACTTCTGTGGAAGTTGAAACTCAGGCATATAAGATCACTGAGCAAACCACTTGGCTTAAAAAGGTTACTCCTTTAGTGGGGGTCTTTCTTTGACTTATTTGGTTTTGATTGGTTTGGGTTTTTGGGGACCATGGCTCCAAAGTGCACTCCAAACATTAAAAATACCCTGCCTATTATAATCGTAATAATCTCCCTAGTGCATTGTATTCTCTCAAAAGCCTTAAATGTATGTTCACAGCTGCTAACCACCAAGAAAATGATCTCCCTAAGACTAGAATTCCAGAAAAGAAGCAAAGAGAATGACAAATTTAAGGACTATGACCCTGGAACCGTGACCTATGGATACCACAAAAAGAAACAACGGAAGCTGCCAAGTGGTAGCTGAGAGTGGTGCTAATGCCTTAAATTTTGATCACATCTCTCAGTCAAGCTGATCAAAAGGAAGGAATTGTTAAAAAGGAAACCACAGGTCCAAAATGGAGTCACTTCTGCTAAGCCCACATCACCAAATGGGGGCTTTATTCCTAACCTAATTGCAGTTTCAACCTTCCCCAGGAATGCAATCTTAATCAGTCAGTCTGGAATTTTCTGCTCAGTGCCAGTGAAGTAACCCACATAATAAGACCCTTTTATTCCCCAAAGGGAAGTGACCTTGCCTGAAATAATCCTTTATTTTGTTTATGACTCCCTTGTCTGACTTTAAAAACCTTTCCTTTTCGGTAGCCCTTTGGAGCTCTCTTCTACTTGCTAGGTGGGATGTTGCCTGATTTATGAATTGTTCAGTGAAGCCAGTTAGATCTTTAAAATTTACTCTGTTGAATTTTTGTTATTTCACACTGCCCAAATTCATTTTATAAGTCACATGCAAAAAATATCATTCTGTCAATTATTCAGTTACTCCAACAAACATTTATTTGCATGGAAATAGAAAGTTATTCAAAAAGCACATTGGGGATTGGGGGGATAGAACAGGTAAATATATCCTAGTGCAATTATACATATATATTTTTCAATAGTAGGAATAGAGGGCTATTTGAGAGTTGCAAAGGGAAATGACTGGAACTCAGCAGCTGTGAGTTTTATTTCCTGGACTCCAAACCACCAATAAATAGAGAGGCAAAGGTGAACTGAGCTGATGAGTGCCAAAGGCAAGTCAACTTGCATCTTGAGATTGTGCAATAAGCCCTGTTTAAATACAACTCGAAAGCAGTCTGGAGTGTTGAGAAAGGAATGATTTCCATTTGGATACTGTATTCCATACTTTTGGTAATCAAGAATAGGGGTAAAGAGTTGAAAGTGATATTAATAATAAAATACACCACCTAACGTGCATTAGCATTGTTGCTACGCATTTCACATTTGTCAGTTTACTGAATTCTCATAAGACTTTTTACAGCTAAGTGTACTTCATATTTTACAAAGGTAAAGATCAAGACTCAGATGCGAAAGAACTTTTTGAAAAGATCTTCCCTGACTTTCTACAGCATTAAATAAATTTAAATTTGAAATAGTGATCATATGGTGCAGTGCTTTTCAAACACTTGGGCAATGATTCACAGCAAGAAATATATTTCACATTGGGACCTATATCACACATGTATTGGAAGAAATGTTTCACAAAGAACTGTTTGTTTTTATCATGAGTGATGTGTTTTCATATTCTACTCTACATTTTTTTCTATTCTATTTACTTATAGTTTTGTTTTTATGTTCTCATCTTAATACATTGACTTACTCTCGTGACCCACAGTTGGGTTTTGACCACAAATTTGATTATTTCATTATCTGACCATTTAATTATTTAGTATTTTCCTATAATTTCTTTGGTTCTCAAGGCAAACTAGAATTTTCATGAAGGCAGATATTACTACCATGCATCCTTACCTCCCCTCATTGTTGGACCTTACTCTAAGTGTGTAATTCAATAAAATTTAATTTTTATGTCTGAAAATTGATAATCTTGGTTAAATGGAAGAGTCTGTGATATGATTCCCAGAAAGGGTAAAAGTAAGGGATAGGAGGCACAGGTCTAGGGGAACAAAGTAACTTGTAGTTATAGCTGTCAACATTTCGTTGAGAATCATCATTCCTGGGTATTCAATGTCCAAATAGAGGAAATACCTAGTCCTATCCCTTGTTGCTTCATAAAATGAATTCCTGTCCAGATATGTGTAGCCTGAACTCAAGAAAATCAGTTACATAAACCACACATGAGATTACAAAGCACATTTCTTCTATATTACCTTTTAGTTGTTTCAGACTGTAATTTCTGAAAGATGCATTCAGATTATTTTTACATTATAAAAAAATCTATACCTTAATTTATATTTTCTTCTTGAATAATGATACCCATCTGTATTTTATTTTTTCCTATGATTCCATTGACTTTAAATATGAAATAATTTCTTTCTAAAATTTTAGATAAAATGTTTTCCTCTTATTGCTTGAAGGCATTCATATCCTGTGTACAACTTCTCAATATCATTCCTTGTGGACCCTTGGTATTACTACAAATCAAAAAAATTAAAAAGAAAATATAACATTAGGTGGAAAAAATATATATATTTAACATATTCATTGTGGGTATCATGAGAATCATATGGAACTAAATGCCTACTTTCCAAAGTATAAATATCGTGAAATCCTTTAAACCTAGCATATGTTTCTTCGAATGAGACTCAGTTTTGAACAGATGTCCCCTTAGACCTGTTATATTAAGACTAAAATTACTAAATCAGCATTAGTTGTTTTTAAATTTAGGGCCATATTTTGCCACTGATTTTTATTCAAAGCTCCCACGGGCGTCAGTGGAAGATCCATGCATGGAGAAATGGCATAATATGTATCCTAGTTTTATTTATTTCATATGTATACAGCAGTATAAAATAATATATTACATTTACACTCATTTTACTTATGTATTATAGCATTCACAGTAACAAACACTATAGTTAAGATTTAAACTCATCTTTTGTTATAATACCCTGTTTTCACTCACAGATAACTGTCTCAAAAATGTGTTTAGAACTGAAATTCCCTGCTTACTTTCAGCTCTATGATGTACGGCTATATCGGAAGTCTGAGTTCTGTCATTCAGATATTTTTGAGTATCATGTGAAATTTTAATATTTGCATCGTTAATGCAAAATTTTCATGCAACTCAAAAACATCTGGAGTGTAAAACTTCGAACTAAGCATGTGACAGATTTTCAAGAAATAAAAGTCATTTTTCTAATTTTACAAATACTTAAAAAATAACGGTGTTTAGAAATACATGCATGCACACTAAAGGTATTAGAATTTTAGTCATATTATTGCCTGCAATACTCTGGCGGCACCCAGCTACCAGCATCCTCATAGAATGCTGTAATCTAAAACCTATGCCAAGTTTTAGAAGAACAAAAATACTCTATTGAACAGTAGTTCGCAAATTACTGTATAAGGATTTTGTTCGACCTAGCAGAGGGAAATTCCTGGAAGAGCTAACAATATATAAAATAATTTTGCTACTCCATGGCATAAAAAATATGGAATTTTGTCATTTCTGTTTTTCCTTGTTAAAAAGGAACATAAAAAGGATGTTAAGTGCAAAGCCTTTACCACTACAAAATTGGAGTTGAAAAAGATAAAGAACCCAAGAAATTGCAATATGAAAAATATAGGATTTTCAGAAAAATTATCAAGTGTACCAATGTTTTAAATATTTTTGACTTCCTCGGGTATTAAAAGCACACATAGAAATATGAGGGTGGAGAAAGAAAACCACATGAAATGACAATTAACAGTGCTCTTATCCGTCAGTACCGTAATTTTCTTTATCCTGCCTAACATTTGCAACATTCTGAGTAATTATATTAAATATTACATTTACTCCAGCAAATAATTTTTGTAAGGTGAGATGGTACAATGCAGATAGAATTATTAAAGTTTTTGTTGAGAATTGTGAGGATTTTTGTTCCTCCTCTTGTTGGAGAAGTAGGAGAGTTTCTACATTACAAATCTGATAGCAAATGATTACACTATTAAGAAATGAAGCAAGAGGATGAGTAATTAAAATATTTAAATCTTCTACTGTAGCACTTAATTTGCAATGTTTGATAAAGGCATTGCATTTAATATCTTCAAAAAACAGAGTATACATGTTTCCTTTATATTTCCCAAGAAAGATGATACACATATATTGACACCATTATATCTGTTAAGTAATTCTGATGTGATATTTAAATATTAGATTTAAAATGATTTCACAGAATTATGTTCACAAGGTAAAAATTAGAATTTTACATGTGGATAAAATATCTCTAAAAATTGTCTTTTGACATACCTTTGAAACATTAAGACACTGTTTCCACAGGAAATTATTTTGACATTTTTACTACTCTAAAACTAACCATGTTATCAAGGAGTAAATATCATGATTATTCATTTTGGAAATAATTAATTGATGAAATATTGTCTAATAATTTAGATATTATTTTCCTTTGATAAGTATAAAATGATGTAAGATTGGATATTAGGATGACTAGATTAAACAAAAAATTAATCTAAAATTCCTTTCCATGCTAATCTAATAAATGCTTACTTGGAAACCTTTGTTATTAGTGGATTGCATTTTTCTGTTTCATAGTCCCCCCATCGGGGGTATAGCTCAGTGGTAGAGCATTTGACTGCATAGTCCCCCCATCAATTGGTAGATAACATTTTAGCCAATTTGCTAAAATTATATCCTTACTCTATTGTAACTTCTGATTTATTCTGGATGCAATAGATAATTGATTAATAACTAAACATTTAGTATTTTGTTTTAAATATTTTTCCCACAAATTAGGTAAAATTTCCTTGTTTATTCTTGTTGTTTGTTTTTATAGATTAATGATATAATTTAAAAATTTAAATGCAAATTAGAAGAACTCTTACTATGACATAAAAAAACTAATGCATAAATATATGGCATAAGAAGTTTGTTCAAGGGAGATTATATACAATGACATAAAGGGCTCAATAATTAAAGAAACTTTCTTAAGGTTGAATGAATGAATATAACCGTAATATATGAAGTGAGTATATCCTCATTTTTAATGCATGTGATAAGGCAGATGGATGTGTGTTTTCCCCCATAACTGTAAAAGAATGAAAGGTTTTAATTAAAGCAGAGTGATTCAACAAGAAAATCATTTTCTTGTTTAAAAAGCAATGACAACAAACAGACGCTTTTCCAGCTAAATTATATAGAAACATATCCTTACTAAAATAGTCTATCATTCAAAATATTAATGTAGTAGTGCCAAAAGTTTGAGAAAATGTTACTGCTGCACTGACGTGAATGCATGTGCTTTTTGTGTCGTATGTGATGGATTAGTTTTATATATTTTTAAAGGGTCCCCAAAAGGCTGGAACATTATACATATTATTTCAATAGATAAAATGATTGGGATTATGACATATTAATATCTATAATTTGATAACAGTCAAATGAGTGATGCCGGAAGCCACTCAAATATATACATATCAAGGACATATAAATATGTGTATGCATTTTAATGTTAAATCGAAGGAAAATAATTCCTATTTAAATGACCATAAAATTGGATGGGGAACATTTGTTATGTGTTAAGTTTTAGTCTGTTCTTTAATAATACAGCACAGCTCAAACTATTGCTGAATTCATAAGATCAGTTGACAATTAAGGTAAATATTGCCAAATTGATCTGTAATTTGGATTGGGCAAACATTCATATATGTTGAAGGCCTTTTTAGAGGGGAGCTATGAGAATTCTGTTTTTTGCTAAGAAGATTATCTCACATTCTCCGATTTTTCTCTCTTAATTTCTCTCTTAGTTAAGCAATAAACAACAGCAGGAAAAAAAAGAAAAACATGTACAGGAAAGGAAAATACACCTTAATGAATTTAATAATTAACTTCATTGACCTGAAAATAAGAGTCAAGCTTAATCTTTCAAGGCTGACTCAGGAAGAATTTTTCTCATTAATAAAACACTGACTATATTTAAGCTATAAAACTCTCGCATGTAAGATAATACTAAAACAATAACATACCATGTTTCTATCTCCAAATTTATTTAATTTATTTTAAATTTAGAGATCCCTTATATCTTACAGTTACTCTTTACCAGTTCAGATATTGATATATCTCTATATATTCATATAGAGTTATAAATAGATTTTATATTCATGTGTTATTAGGAGTCACAAAACTATGTAAAACTATGTAAAATAAAATTCTGTGTGAGTTCTATGGTTGAGGACTTCTTAAAATAGTAATCTCAATGACGTATTTTACATCACAAAATGTACAGACACCCAGTGTTTGTTTTTGTTTTTTTCTAACAACAAATACAGGTGAATTTATAGATTCCTTATAAAAGCTTTAAATGATTCTAAATTCAAAGCCATAGAAATAGAATTGAAAGAATGTAGATTGTTAGAGATTTTGATATTACATGTTCAGTGCTCTTCTGATAAAATCGACAGCTATATCTTTGGCATTGAAAATTCAGTACGAGTTCTTGACAAAATTTTGTAGCTTAGAGCTTCGTTTTCTTTTCAACAAGGAAAAACAGGGTTGAATAAGATATGAAAATTGGGAGGAAGTTATTAATGATTTTTTTTTCTTAGTAAGTTTATCTTTGGGACCCTGAATTACCTTTTACTTTACTGTATGATGTGGACTGTATGAATCCATTTAAAAACCAACTGAGTTGTACCACATTTTAGGAAAATTATATAATATAATATATATATTTTATATTTATTTAGAAGCTTTGAAATAGTACAGTAAACACTTTGCAACACGGTGTATAAACTACAGAATGTCTTTGATATTTTGTGGGTCTTCAGAATACAACATTTTTTAGAACCCACAGGTGAAAAGAACATAATCACAATCTCTCTTGTAAAGTTGGAATAGTTTGGGGAACACTTGATCACACAAAAATAATATAAAACAGTCAAGTTTAAAACAGTGATATTGCATTTATAATGCACAAATTTCCTTTATCTTTATGACTGGCTTCTCGTGGTGAATATAAACATCTAAAGGGCTCAGTGACATTTGGAGAGAGAAAGATATATAGTGCTGTAAACAGGCACACACTGATCGGAGAGGCAAAATCAGTTGCCTCTAAAGTTTCTACAGTTCTGCACATTTCAACTCATTTCTCAGGCCTGCTGAGAGCAATTAGGTCCTATAATTGGCCACGACGACTCCGCCGGCAATCTAAAACTCAGTTACACACAACTAACTGGATGGCCAAGATAATGAAGTTGAAAAGTTGATGCTTTTGTTGGTCGACTTTGTGCAAATCATGCTGCTTCAGGTAAATCCTGTAGAATTGACTAGCATATCCTTTTCCGTGCTGTGAAAAAGAAAGAAAAATACTCTAAGAAAAGGAGCCTGGGTTTTGGAGTTTAGAATTGCACGTCATTTTAAAAAGAAACAAATACAGTTGGAAATAAGTTGTGTCCCTATACCAGACCCATGTAGTGTCAAAATATTTCAGTGATGACCTTGGTTTCTAATAGTTGTAGAGAAAAGTTGCTCTGGTGCTTGGCTTCCTAAAAATTATAATTTTGATATTTTGAAAAATCAGTTTCACGTGGGAGATGTATACATATGTACCAACCACGAGTAATGTGGAGACTAACCTTTTAAAGGGACATAGAAAACAATCCCTACTTCACTACTTATGCAGGATCAGAGTATAGGAAAAAATGTGTGGTCCTTAAACATTCTAGAACAATCCTTTATAATATCTATGAGCAACTGGTTATACGTCTAGTTTAATAAATTCTAAATTATATATATATATATTAAATCAATATATAATACAGAAAACTGTACCAGAAAATGTTTATGTAATTAAAAAGTTAAAGGGTGCTTCACATTTTCTAGGTTTACTTTATCTCATCTTTGAAATTACGCAAAAACCAAATCTTTTTATGTCTACAAAATAAAAAAAAAATCTAAATGTATCCCCTAAAAGGAATCAGTTTTCTTATAAGGAAGGTAAAGGTGAAAAGAGAAAAAGATATTGAATTTGGCCCAGTCATATACAATGTATTGAATTATGAAGTAGAATTTCTAAATTCAATCATTTAGGTTTTATGATTTTAAGTATTTTATTTATTTATAATGATAATGGTTATTTCTTCCCACCTATCGATAATCTTTATATTTGGCAATGAACACAATCAGAACAGAAACTGTACCCCTAGGTCAGTATCTGACACATAATAGATATATGATAAAAAGGTACTGAAAATTGTGCACAATTGTGATAAAAGGCAATTTGGTTGTGTAAAATCAACTATAACAAAATTATATATATATAGAGAGAGAGAGAGAGAATTAAAAATTAAGAACTACTCTAAATAGCATAACTGAATTGTTTCAATCTGTGAATAGTTGGATTTTTTTTGTTTGTTTTCGGGCTTTCCTTACACAAATAGAACATACTGGTCAGTTCAATTCCTCGTCTATGGTATTTTTCCATTAATTTCAAGTAGATTATCTGGTTATATATTTTTCTTAATTTATTTCCCCGATTCTCTCATTTATTTCTCCTCACAAGCTCAGTTTGTGACCAACCAACCTAAGATTTCTTCCTTAGGCCACGGTTTAACAGACACATCAATTAAAATTGTAAAAGTCAGGCACCGCCATTGACAGAAATAAAGTTGAAAAGGAATATATACATGTACTGTGTAGTAACTAGTACTGAAAACAATCAAAACATATTTTGTTTTGTAATAATATATAACAACATGAATTATAAAATGAGTTAACTCTAACACAGGACTACATGGTAGTTATTATAACTTACCTGGTCATAATGCTACAGAGAATATTCTATAAAAGCAAATAGAAATTTGGTCTTTTTAAATAATCAAATCCTATTTTCCTATGTTGTTGAATTCAAATTCCCTGTTTCATGATAAACTTCAGTATATCTGATTTAAATATATTTGGTTTATACCAATCAGAATTTAAAATTCTTCAGTAAATTCAAATAATTAAGCACCGTAGCAATTCAGGTTCGTAAAATGAATTTGACAAATAATTACAGTGACCAAATAATTTATGGTTCAACCTGAAAAATTGTGTGAGTAAAAGGGAACACTATCAATAATTACATAAGACATAATCTTGTGCTTTCTTGGACAACCCAGGAAATATGAACACCCCATAAACAATACCACTTTTCTCAAATTAAGTTAGAGATATTACTTACAGGATGAAGTTTCTTTCTTAAAATACTCATTTAGAGGAAACTAATTTATAGGAAACATCTCGAACACTTATAGTTCGAGGACAAAAGAAACTCAAGAGTGACCTATCCTCAACCTATAAATTATTATGTGCAAAAATTAATATGCTGAAAAGCTACATCTTAGTATAATGCAGAAATTAGTCAACCTGATACATATTTAAATCAGTAAAATATTTCTAATTAGGTTAAACGATTACTTATGGGAAAAGCTATTAGCATGGATAGGATATGTTCCTTTGATTCAGTCAAAATACAAAAAGAAATTGTATTATTAAAATAGTTCAGAGTTTTAAGAACACAGAAGTTTAGCACACATTATACTTGATATCTTAAAACCTAAACACAAGCTTAAATGCATATTTTAATTACCGCCTAGAGTTACGGGTGTGCTGCTTTTATTTAAAGTGCACCTCTTCCAGCAGTTGTATGAATAAAATAATCGCCTTTTATTAAATTATCTTCTCCCACCTATCTGTTAATTCAGAAATGCAAATCTGAATGGGACAGGCGTTAAGGGCTCAGGTTGAAGGTCAGAACAAAGTAGGACGAGGAGGAAAGATTTCCTCCATTTCCAAAGCAAATTTCACAAATGTGAAGTACGACCAGACAAACTAGAGGAAATGAAATATTACTACTAAGTCAGAGTCACAAACATTTTGTTTCAAGGCTTTTTAGAGATAGTTTGAATACTGAATACTCATTATCTTTGGGGGCTGTCTGGGTTAATGTTGGACAAGTAGCACACAAATATATATATATGAAAAAGCAATGTTATTACATTTTAGAGTCAGTGCCAAGGACAGTTACTGCACAGTGTTAACTGTTAAGTCTATGCATTTGCTGAAGCATTTCAGGCTCGAGAGAATGGGTCAAATACATTGAATCTCTATGCTTTACGATGTATTCTACATATGTTTCAGAATTATGAAAGCATACTTGAAAATTTTCTGCTTTTTCTTTTCAATTCACACATGCATTTTTCCCCCTAGCTACTCATCAGCATAGGTAGGGAATTGGTCACTTGATAGAGATGAAAGATTTTCTTCTCAGTCAAATCTAAATAATAGGAAAAGGACTGTTAGTATTTCTTTTTACTTCTACTTATTCATTCACTGCCTTTATTCTTCATAGTGAATCACAGAAATCTCACATTTAAGACATTTATCTCATTGTCTGAACTATGGATGAAAAAATCACTCTTAAGGGAAAAGAGATATTCAAATATTTACTTTTTATAGTTTAACACATATATGTGTGTATATATTTAACACATATGTATGCATACATTTAACATATTTTTTGATGGAAGTTCCAGGATGCGTATTTTTCCTCATATTGTGGAATCCTGTAATTGCCTTCGATAATTTGTAAAGTACGATATTAAACTTTGGGACATTTACAAATTCTGTTTGATGACTATAAGCATGTATGTTGCAAAAATAATTGTATAAATATCAGTACTGATATCCTATTTATACCATGTGTAATAGTATAATTAGCTTGGTGAAAAATAATTTGGTATAATATATTAAAATGACATTGTAATAATTTGACTATTCACATTTCTATACTTGCATTACAGGAAGCAAAATACCCTTCATACTTTATGACAGTATGAACCACAGGAGCTAAAGAAATATATAAACATATGAAGTGACCTAACCTTATTTCTGTGACTGAAAGAAAGAACAGCCTTCAAATATCCCAGATGACTGAGACTCCATAGCAGTGAAACACTTCCAGAGGCTGAGATCAGTAACCTACTCCAGAGCACACTCAAATGTTTAAGGAGCCTCCCGGTCAGGACACTTCTTTATATGTAAAGTGAATTTAGCAGACAAGAGTTAAAGCCCATTACCCCTTACAGAAGTCAGAAACACCTGCCCTCTGTTCCTTGAGTAAAAACGTATCAGAAACTGAAAGATCGTTTAAAAGCAAGCCCCCATTAGAGATCTGTCCAGTTGAATAATCAATTCTTTTAACTTTCCTCTATCTTATTCTTCAGCCATTTTTGAGGATTCTCTTTCAAAATCTTGCTAATTTTTTTTTTTTTGTTTAACTGTAAAGTCCAGCAATGAGTATAGTAGTGGTAACTATTAAATATGGGTTGCTGCTTGATTTGTCTTTTATCTTCCCCCCTCCTTGAACAGTATTAGATTTGTTTTTATATTTTAAAATATAATTGTACATGGTTCATATTGTAAATGTTTTCCTTTTCACAAAAAAATGACAGGTTTTAAATTTTAAGTTATATATAATGAAAAAACCGATTAAGCACTGTAATTTATTATGAATTATAAAAAGACTGAAAGCCTTCTGTTAATATATATTGTCTTTTGTCCAATAATACTAGCTTAGTGCAGCATGAACTTGAATTCTTACATTTATTTCATAATATGCACAACATCCTCATGCTAAATTTTGTTTTTTCCTCTCATCAAACAAAATGCTTTTTATCCTATCTTGACAGAGTTAAGGGATTATAGAATATATCTAGAAAACAAGAGTTCATCTGGAGAAAGTGGCTCTCATATATAAACTTGATTAGTCTTTTAGAAAGAAAACTTTGTGAAATAAATGACTCAAACAATCCTTTAGAACATTCATGCCAGAAATATATAATAAAGCCAAGGGTTCAGTTTATATGTGTATGTAATGATTACAATGTAATTTGCAATTAATAAATATTTGTTAAAAAAGATAAATTCATGGGTATTTGAAGAGGTAAGAAATTGGTGAGCGTAGTTTTGTGGTAGAGAAATTGACATCAATGAATGAGTAAAATGGATCTTTTCTAAGAGAGGAATATGTTGAACATATTCTTTTCATAGACATTCAAGCTCTCACAATTCCAGCACCCTTAACTACTATTAAGAAGAAAACCACTGCCTGTCATTTCCATCGTTTAAATTGACATCACTTAGACCAAATTCCTAAACTGGAGCCTCATACCTAATCTAAATGCAGTTTCAACCTCCCCCAGAGATGTAGTGTTAACCTGTCAGTCAGAAGAAACTTTTCGATTAGCGATTAGCACCAGTGAGTCAGACACAAGTGCCCTCTCCCTTCCCCAAAGAAAGATGAGG